TTGTAATAGTCTTATCTTCAATCAAACTGCATATTTGCATTTAGGATACAAAAACTGAACGATTTTAAGTACCCATAGTCTTATATTGTAAATAAAAATAATTTTCCTGGACTTTTGAAAGAGGGCCCTTCTGGATTCTACTGAGCCTACCCTTCAAGGGTTCAAATGTGAATATCCGAAAGTTAGTTTTTAGAAGATTAGGTACCATTCTAAAGAAAAAAAACTACTAAACTCATCAAGCTCAAATTTTACACAATAATTCCTGTTACCATGGTGAATAGTTTCATGCATTTTTAGAATGTTACCATTAATTTTACTTTAAAAAAATTGTTTATTATAAAAAAAAACACAATTAAAAATTAGTAATTTTTATAAAATTTTATATTTTAAAAACTAGACCTAATTTCTTGTTTATATAGCATGAAATCATAGAAAACAATCTAAGGAATGAATATAAAAAAAAATTTAAGTCAATATCTCTAACGGTTTTAAAAATAAATGTACCTATCTAATCACATGTTTTCCCATAAGAATAACATGGAAGTAATATTTGCGCACTGCTCCCCTTTTAATTGGGTTTAAAAGTTAAAATTAAAACAATATTGTGAACATACATTTAATAATTACGAAAAACATTTTTATTACCAACCATAACCAGACGTTGGATCACTGAAATCATAACAAACTGTGTAATGTAAGAGCATCCAATTTAACAAAAATACGTCATTTTTAAGGTCTAAGTTTTTTAGTTAAATTGCTACTCACACAGAATTTTCCTCCCCTCTAAAGTCATTGAAACCCGTTGTTCGACTTGCACTCTCACTAAAGACAGCAGATTAAAATTTTACTAGTGTACCTGTTGCTTGAATTCGAGCAATTGCTAAGTATTACAGGTGTAATTTTTAAACTAATAACAATCATAACTTCTGATGAATTTAAAAGATTTGTCTCAAATATTATGGAAATACTCAAGATGTACATAACAGATCGATGTAATCAACATTTCTTGTAAATAATCATTTTTCAAGAGCTGATCTTGTTTTTTTAGTTTTTTCTACAAATACCTTACTCAAAACCGCATTAGGTTGGCCACAATAACGATTATAAATTCTAAAAAAAAAATTAAAAAAAATATTTCTACAGTATGTCTTCTCCTTGGTGGTGTTCTATGACTTTCCTATCTTTCCTTAGTTAACTGTTAAATTAACTGTTAAATTAATTGTAAAACTTATTGACTGTTTACGATTAACATATGCTCTTCTTCTCACTTTTAATTTCTGACAACAGCTGGAGTTTCATAACAATGATGGTTTCCCATGTTAATCTTATGGAGAGATACGACACTTTAAAGGGCCCCAGTGCCTCACTCTCTAATTATTAAGATACCAAAAACATGTAAATCGGTTCAGTAGTTTTGGAGGAGTAATTGTCACAAAAAACCTGCTTGCGTATTAAATAAGTATATAGATACCACGGTCAATAGACCACCATGACCAGTCTATTCTCTGTGATCATACAAACAAAATCATATTAGTTTCAGAATAGCTTGTGACTTTTCGCTTTTTCGATACTACTCTTAAGAAATTGAGATTCTGTTGGTTTTTTTCCATTTGGATTTAGCATACGGTAATCGTTTTATGCCAATTAAACCCCCCAGTTGTAATTAGCTTACGTGGAATGCCTCAGTACTTCGGGAATTAAGTTTTGGTGGGAGAGGGCTAAGTAAAATAATCATTATTTGATCGAAACTATTTTCTCCTATGACGAGTAGTCTTCAGTGTAATCATAACCTTTGCTCAATAGTTACAAACTGATGTGTTTACCCTTTTACTGTATTTTTACTTTCTCCCCCTATACCATAGTATATGGAGAAAGTATTGTTTTCGTCAAAATTTTCGAGTTTGAGTTTTGAGTGGATATATCAGTTTTGGGTCCCCCTGGACCCAAAAAAGTGGTTTTCGAAGTGATGTCTCTCTGTGTGTGTGTGTGTGTGTGTGTGTGTGTGTGTGTGTGTGAGTGTGTCCGTTAGCACGATAACTCAAACAAAAACCATCCGATTTTGATTAAATTTGGTATAAACGTGTAAACCTACGTCATTTATTCGAACGAGTTCGCGAACCAGCATGATCGGACATGGGAATGGGGGTTTATGGGGTAAAAGTGGGGTTTTCCCATTTTATGCCCTAAAAACATTAAATTTTGGAATTTCTTTCCCAACCATTTTGTAGATTCTTTGTTTGAAGTTCATTGGGTGTGATGTTGAGTTAATGTTGTTCAAAGGTTTATTGCGGACATTTTGATTTATGGTTTACTTAACATTTGACCATCGTGATGGAAAATTTCCGAAATAAACCTTTGAACAACATTTTGTAGAGCTTAAAAAAAGAAATAATTCAGTATATTGAAGCATTGTTGTATGCCTAATGGTTACGGAGAAAATTCAAAAAATTGCAAATTTAAAATTCCCATGTTATTCTTATGAAGAAAAATTAAACTGTTGTAATTTACTTGTTTATGGATACATGTTGATCAAATTTGGCAAATTTATTTATTTCATCCTATACTATTGATGTTTGGTCAAAAAACACTGTTTACCTTCCCCAGCAGCAAACCTGAGCACTTGTTAAATCTAATGTTATTTAAACCGGGAATAAATATATTTTATTAAGAAAATATTTTAGTGAATATGTAATCAGACAAGTTGAAATTCGCTTAGTTTGCAGGTTTGCTGCGGCGGGGGTATTAGGGATTTTTGTTTTTCCCTATCTTATATGTTATAGAGCTGGGTAGCTTATCGGTTATATTGCTCGCGTATTAACCAGACGATCGGTAGTTCATCCCTGAGAAAAGTCAGTAGCGTTGTGATGGCTCTAATCGGGATGCTGCTGTCCGTTATTACTACTGTAATCCTAGGTCACTGTTTTATGGCGGTTCATTTGAATTGATCTAAAAATACCTTTGAATCTATAATGCCCTAAATTACATGTTATTGTAAATCTCGCTAAGAAGTCAACCTTGATAAGAAATCGTATATGATAATCCCTAGAGGCTTGCTATAGAGGTTCTACTGCACCTTCTATAATGACATTTTTCCCAGTCCCATATTGATTATGTTTCAGGATATCTGTCCATTTCTTCCATGGATCAATGAGCACACGAACGTCTTCAATGGAACGAAAATCTCGAAGAAATGTAAATATAGTGGATCAGCACGAACTAATAACTCATATGGTTTATTATTTATTAATATCGTATTGATTGTTTTAATAAATTCATTTCTCAGGTAATGAACTGTTTTATTTATTTACTTAACTAGCAGTAGGCTACGCTTATTCTGCGCGTAACGACAATGTCATTTGTATGGGCAAATCAACCAAATCTCAGTCAACAACAGTCCTAACTTCTTGTCGATTAATTAACCAAAGTCATTGTTAATATACGTAATGGATTTCCTGAACTGTTATCAAAAAGAGAGAAATCCATCGTACCTGTACAAAACAAGTTGATTAATTGAAGCCTATTTCCTTATTTGTAATGAGGCCTATCATAAACAAAACTAAGCTAAACTGAACTAATATAAACCAGACGATTTTTAATACCGAAAAATCAAGGATATCTGGGCCTAGTTTTGAACCATATTAATAGTATATTTCGTACCTAGGGCCGAAAATGAGGTTTTGCCGGCTCGAGATAGTTTTTAAGTTCGAGACGAAGTCGAGAACTTAAATCGATCGAGAGCTGCAAAACCATTTCGGCCCGTGGTACGAACGCTATTTTTCACCACACTATACCACTATACCCTATTACACCACTATAATAATGCACACTGATAGTCAACACAACTACAACTTTAAGGTTATGTAAAGAAATAATTTGAGGAATCAGCAAAAATAAAAATAAATAGTTGCTAGGCAACGGCGACAATAACACAATTCTTTTGCAATGCTATGGATTTTGATTGTGTATTTAAAATGCATTCATGTTTTAAGAAAGTAAGCTGACAGCTGATTTTGCGGCCCCGGCCTGTAAAAACCTGCTCGGTCCCCAAATTATGGACAGCTGGCATCGCCAGCAAAACGTAACTTTCAGCCACCAATTAACGTATGTAATACAGCCAAAAACATCATAGTGTGGTGAAAAACAATTGAAGTTCCTCATGATTTAACCGACAACCTTTTGATTTTCATGCGAGTACTATTACTAATCAGCTGTCCAGTTATCAATCCATATACGAAAATGCAAGATCATCACACACAATCAACCGGGTAGGGAATGTGCATACGGGAGGGACGATGGGTAAAGTTGTGGTGACGTCATATCTATAGTGGCTAATGTCTTATCTTGAGGCAACACGATTACCGTAACGAGATGAGCGGATCCAGCGGCGTTCGTGGCATAGTTGGTAGCGCATCATACTAGTCTACAGGAATCTCGAGTTCGAGACCCGTCGGAGATATTAATTTTTGACAAAGATTTTCTATATTTGAATTTTATCTTATATCTTTTTTATATTATCAGCAAGTTTGGTTGGTTAGGTTAGGTTATGACAGTTTAATTTTATAATTAAAAAGTCAATTTTATAACTAAAAGCTATAAAATAACTTTATTTAAATTTTTCAACTTAGCGGTTCTAGCGGCGAACGCTGACAATATCTTAGCCATCGTCCCTCCCGTGTGTCCCACCGATCAGGGTAGCCAATGCACACACTGTCTACACAGTACACATATCACCAACGGTCATTAAAATGATCGAATGCAGTAAAATATTCTCATCATTGAATACTTGGAGATTCATATGTATATGTACATTCATTAGCTAACTGATAACCTATGGCATAGAGTAACCAACACATGGGACTATGTTTAATCTATGGCTATGGCTAATTCAAATCGTCCAGTCTGTCAATTTGATCACATGTCGTTGTTTTATACAATGTTGGTAAACAAACATAAATACTCCTAAACTTTTGCATTAAATTCAAAATTGTGTTGTTTCGGTTTCAAAATCATCAATGAAATTGATACTTGGATTATTTACTTTCTATTTTCAAACAATAGTCGTATTTAACCAAAATGTAGCCGGGGAAACAAATGGAGAACAGACCCAAACTTTATCAACAGGAACCAACCATTCTAACGATGAAACACATCTATTAAATACCAACCGAAGTACTGATGTCAATTTTACTAAAAATGTTAAGGATATGCACATTGTTTATGCTTTGGAGAGAACTCAAGATGTACCTGTAACAAATTCTACAAGTCTAGAGAACACAAAATTAGTGCATTTTAAAGTCAACAAGACAAAAAAGATTGTCTTCAACCAAATTGAGATTCCTAGCAAAGTCGTTGAAGACGGAGTTACAACGACATCTAAAAATGATATGCATAAAGCAACATTTGAATCAGACGTCATCCAAGCAGAACCCGAAGGGTCTTTCAATAATGGTCAAAACGTAGATATCGCTATGCATCGCTCAGACGTCGGGCACACGGAAGGCACTGAATTCAACGTCACCCAAACAGAAGGTTTGCATAGTAAGCCAACTGCATATTTTAACGAAGATGGAAATTTGAACAATTTGACTCATCCCACTGAAAAATTTCAATTTGACAACAAAAAATAACAGAAAATCTTGCACGACTCGCAGTTTAACAGTGAAAACAGTGAATACCCAGACACTTTCGACTGGAGAAGAAGAGAAGATTCTTACAATCTGACAGAACCAGAGCAATCCCCGTATTCTGTGCTCCTCATCGTAGTACGAGGCGGTGAAGTGGCAGGTCGGTGCACATGTTCGATCATAACTGAGGAATGGGTCTTGACAGCGGCACATTGCCTCGTTGAGGGTGAAAAATGTATAGTATACGCCGGGGGTCACTCGATGGAGGAGTTAAAAAAATTCGTAAATGGAAGCGGCCCCAGGCCTCCTACAGCCCAGCTGCTCCAATCCTCTAGTTTTATCATTCATCCTCGGTATGGGGGAGAAGATTTTGACGTGGGGCTGATCAAAGTGAAGGGAAAGTTCAACTTTACGCGGGCTGTGAGCTCGATACAGCTGACCACGACACCTTGGATGGAGAGTTACCATGGATATACGACGTGCGTTTTTACGGGATTCGGTACTGTTCAGATAGGAGAGGAGAACAAGGACGATGGCTACAGGAAGACGACTCGTCTGGAGATTAAAAGCCCTTGCCTCTGCTCGTTCAATCTGCGCATGCGATTTGGATCAGAGACGGTGAGTAAGTGTGTGGGCCTAGTGTAGTTTTAAAGTAAATGCAAATGGTATACGAAAGTCCAAATTTAATTTGGTAAATATTTCTTAATGATATATTTTTTAAGTCGCATTGTTGATGTCAAGTTCAAAAGTCTGTCACTGATAGTTTTTAAATAATTTAGCTTATTCTGTTTCATTGGGCACTTGTGAAGAGTACTTTAAGTAGGCCTATAGATAAAAGACTTTATAAAACAACTCTTTTACTTTTAAAATTGTAAGCTTCTTAGATTTTGTAAAATGGTTCAATATTTTATTCATACAATGTTAATGCGGTGAAAACATTTTGACTCGTTACAACTGACTTCGGCAATACTTTTCACAGCTGAGTTATGATAACATTTTTTTCACCACACTATGATGTTTTTGGCTGTATTACATACGTTAATTGGTGGCTGAAAGTTACGTTTTGCTGGCCATGCCAGCTGTCATCGTAATTTGGGGACCGAGCAGGTTTTTACAGGCCGGGGCCGCAAAATCAGCTGTCCGCTTACTTACTTAGAACGTGAATGCATTTTAAATACACAATCAAAATCCATAGCATTGCAATATAATTGTGTTATTGTCACCGTTGCCTAGCAACTATTCATTTTTATTTTTGCTGATTCCTCAAATTATTTCTTCACATAACCTTAATGTTGTAGTTGTCTTGACTATCAGTGTGCATTAATATAGTGGTGAATAGTGGTAATAGGGTAAAGTGCGGTGAAAAATAGCGTTCGTACCACGGACCGAAATGGGTTTGCAGCTCTCGATCGATTTAAGTTCTCGACTTCGTCTCGAACTTAAAAAAGGGGATTGCCCAACTCCGCGCAGTGGTCAAATTTAATCCGAGGAAAAATTTTATGGCCCCCGAAGGGTTCAGCCCAACTCCGCGCGGTGGTCACTTTTAGTGTCAAGTCTAACTCCGCGCAGTGGTCACTCCTAATATCTACGGTATTTGCTTTGGTAAAGTTTTTACCAAAACAAAGGCTACAGCACATTTGCATGGACGTGAGTTGAAGTTTCCAAAAGGTTTGCTGCTGCTATTACAATAATATCCCCGCCGCTTCAAAACTGCAGACTGAGCGAACTTCCATTTGATTGATTGCATTACCAGTAAAATATCTCTTTCAAAATATACTATTTATTCCCTATTTAAATATCATTAGTTTAATGAGTACACATAAGTTTGCTGCAAGAGGCGGGGTAATAAGTGTTTTTGTGAAATGTCAATAGTTAAGTGTAAAATAAATGCATTTCCAAATTTAATCAAAATACGCTCCTTTTACAGGAAATTACAACAATTTACTTATTCTCCATAAGAATAACATGGGAATTATAAAATTAAAATTTGTTGGCATTTTTTCTGTAACCATTATGGCGCATAATAACACTTCAATATACTAAATTATTTGTCTTTAAGCACTACAAATTGCTTTAAAAAGAAATTGCAAAAATGTATGCTTTTAGGCTCAAAATTGGGAAAACTCGATTTTTCCCCTTAAACCCCAGTTTCCATGGTTCCATGGCAAGATCGTGCTGGTTCGTGAACTCGTTCGAATAAATGTAGGTTTAACGTTCATATCAAATTTAATCAAAATTGTATCATTTTTGCTCGAATTATCGTGCTAACGGACATATATATATTTATATGAATTCGAATGGATGGTGATTTCGGCCTTTGGGACATAAAACCGAAAAATTAAATCAGTGGATCTCAGTGGAGTCTTACCATAATATCTACGGTAATAACTTATTCCCTATATGGGAAATTCGCTAAAACGTTGGTCCGGGTCTGGCTTCAATGGAAAATCCTCTTCATAGACGTCAAATTCGCCATTTAATAAGACGTAAAAGAAATATTTTAGCTTATTATACAAGCAAAATTATAGATTCACAACTGGAGGTGAAACTTGAAAACCACTAGGCTATGTAATATTTTCAAAAAGTCCGTGCGAAGAGTGGATACGTATGAAAGTTTCTGAAATTCACAGTTCACAATTATTTAATATGCTAATACATTTTATTAACGATTTCATGAGCTTTACGTTACACTTGTGTGCTGCGATCACGGATTTTACCTTTTTATACAGCAATATACTGCAAATTAGCTGTAATCTCTTTTTTTGTAAAAAAAAAACTTAGCTCTGCATTTAAAAGTGGCTACAATGAACTTTTTAAATAATAAAAAAACTTAATTATCTCTTCCAATAACATTTAACAAAGGAAACATTTTAAAATTCTTTTTGTAATCAAATTTAAAGTATAAGATTGTTTTTGAGGTTTGCCAATAATGTGATTTGGTTTTCTGAGAATTTATTAAGATATTACTTTAATCTTTAAAATATTTACGATTGTAAAATGTTTTACTAAGGTTAATATTGCTTCGCATTTTAAAGCTTATAATATTATTGTTTAACTATATTAATTTAAATTTATTATGGTTTTAAATAAGTGTAACTTTTGTAAATTTGTAAATATTTTACTTATAAAATTTTAGTAGGCTAAAAATTTGTATTTTATTTTTAGTACAGATATTTTAAATGAATTGTTCTTTTTTTGTTTGTTCTGTAAATAATATACACGATGTTTATGTTAACGATGACTAATTTGACAAATTTTGGCTCACTTGCCCTGGAATTTTGAACATTTTGTACGTAGAGTAATTAAATATAAAGTCAATTTTGAAGTCTGATGTTTTGTTAAATTCCTATACTGCTTTAAGTATTGATATAATTTTGTATTGCGAGTCATAAAAAACATAGAAGTTTGTCGGCCATTTTCTCCCAAATTTGAGGTGTGTAGCTAACTGTTGTATGACACAGAGATTACAGCTAATTTGTTATAGCAATCTGCGGTTGTATACAAAACTAATATTTATGAGCTTGGTACTAAAGTTCAGAGAGCTCATAAGCCCAGTAATGAATGAGTGAATGAGTGAGGAGTATTGTAGAATTTGGAAATATAGAATTTAACTTATAAATTAAATTCACAGTCACTCTTTCTCGCGGACTTTTTAAAACTTCTTATATTAGTGGTTTTTAAGCTTCATCTCCTGTTTTAGGTATATCTTATCTCTTTACTTTCCTATAAATGATAAACCTAACATAAAGTATAACACAATTTCAAAGTTCAAACACAAACTCTCAGCCGCCAGGGCTGTGAGAGCCAAAATTGACCACTGCGCGGAGTTGGACAGTCGGTTTTGACAGATTTCTGACCACTGCGCGGAGTTGGGATAAGCCCCTTAAAAACTATCTCGAGCCGGCAAAACCTCATTTTCGGCCCTAGGTACGAAATATACTATTTTTATTATTTGAGACCGGTTAAGATAATGGAACTTGAAATCGCATCTATTCAAAATTCGATATTAAACCTTTGCGAAGTCTGTTAAGATATTTGGGTATGTCGGGTTACATTTACTTACGTTACTTACGTTTAACGTACAGTACACATATAACGACTATATTTTGCAGATGCTTCCTTTAGTTTAGTATTATAACCAAAAACTACAAATCACACTGTAATTTTTACCCTTAAAAGAATATATAAAAAATAGTCGATATCAACGCATTTAAGCTTCATTACAAAACAGGAGACACTAAAAACGGCTCATTCTGAAGATTTGTCCATTTCAATATCATAAGATAGTAAGATGGATATCTAATGGTCGAACATCGCGCCACTCATCCTACACTCATCTCCATTCATACTTGGCTTAAAATACCTACTTTATATGGTCGCCATTTAATAAGAAAGTATTAAAGTATAAAACTATAATAGTTAATGGTTTAACGAAATTGATAATAGTAGTTTTTGACAGCACAAATTTGTTGTCCGTCATACTGCAGCAAAAACAGCCGTTTTAATGCATGCGTTGCGGGTCAAAAGTAGCAGTTTTGTTCATCGTTTATAGCTCCAAGGGAGTATGGTAAGGATCAGCAGTATGTATCGATGTTTTATCGATTGTAGATAATTGTTTCCGTATTGTAAATAGTTCGAAGTATCGATGGTATAATGTACACTAGCACAGTAGTAATGACGAAACGATTGCATCATTTACTAAACAGCTGCTTGTTTCCATTGCGGTAGCAAATTGAATTTAAAACAAGCTGAAAGTGGTTTTGAGAGTTCAAGTTTTAAATTATTAAAACTATTTCAGTTTTTTTAACATAGTTTATTTAACTAATGGTGCGTTATGACGATAAATAGTTCATCACACGGGCAAAAGGTGTCTTTCAACTCTCGCTTATTTTCCAGTGTTTAGGCCCTGACGATGACATATCCTATTAACAAAAAAAGGGTAAAAGGGTGAAAAATTCCAAGTTCAACATAAAAGTCATATGGTCATTGTTATTGTTTTTAAATCTTCTATATATAAAGCCAAAAGTACCCATGAACTTTTGAGAAAACTACAAGTCACACCCCCATAAACCATATACTTAAATTGTTCGTCATGACGAGAAACCTTGCGCAAAATTATCCATTATTTCACAAATTGCCCTTTAAGGTCGTAATTCCTTTCTAAAGGGAACTTTTCATATACCTAATGTTAAAAATACTTCAGCTGTACTTATTTGTTTGTTATTCTTTCAATTTATTACCTTATTAAAATCAGGTGTGATTATTTGTTTCTTTTACTGTATTTTGTTTATTTCAGGTTAACTTAACCAATCAATAGTACTTATGATGTCAAACGGGGTGAAGCCCGTGGGTAACAGCTAGTTAAAGTAAAAACAATTTGGCCAAATCTTGAAATTCTTTGTTATAAATTTTATGTTATGAAATGTGCCGTAAATATTGGTTGCCAATTTACAAATGTTAAATAAATCCTGCGTGTTTTACTCTTAACTTTCTCTGTGATCATGCTTTATCTACAAAGATCGAATATGCAAGTTGAGCACGCTGGGAAAATAATAAGAGGTTATCGTGTTCAAAATGTATGGGAAAACAAGAAGGTAAGGCTTTACAAGGAGGACGAATGCAGGAATAAGGACGATTTCCAAGGATTTTACGGTCATTCAGTATATAATCTACATGTTAAAGTGAACCCGTCATTAACTAAAGTTAGTGATATAATAAATGTCAGGCCACCAGACCACTTTAGGCTTAAAAATAAAACTCGTGACAAACACAAAGTAAAGAGAACGATAAATGAAAAAAACTCAGTCTTCCAAACTAGTCCTGAAGAAAACAACGGAGAAAAATACGATGTAAAAGTATTAAAAGTAAAAAAAGAAAAAGAAACAGAAAGAGGAGGAGAAGGACGAGTACGAATTAACGTATGCTGAAGACTTCTTCCCCTTATCTGTGCTTCTGATACTAGTTAAGAATGGGAATGACGAGCAGGGCATCTGTACAGGAACGATTATATCAGAAGAGTGGGTGTTGATGGTGGCGCACTGTCTGGACGAAGTAGACGGAGTTATTGACTACGCTGGCGGGAACTCTCTCCAGGAGTTCGAAGACTACGCAAGTGGGGAAGGCCAGCTTCCATAAACAGCACTACTGGTGAAGAGCGCGGAGTTGATAATTCACCCAAACTATGAGAGTGAAAAGGGCCATGATGTTGATGGAGACGTAGAGCTTATTAGGGTGGATGAGAAGTTTGTTTGGAACGAGGCTGTTACTCCGATCAACCTGACGACAACTCCGTTCAAGCAGTCTTTTAAAGGATGGGCCGCATGTGAACTGACGGGGTTTGGCGTAGTCGAAGACAACACTCGCAGTGATGACGACACGAAGAGGAAAAAGTACAGTTTTAAATTAAATCAGGCTGTTGGGAGATTATTGTAATGCAGATGGTTAAATCGTTTGAATTCGTTAGTTTTAGTAAGATAAATGGAATGTGTGTTATTGATTTTTTAAAGTAGCATAGGTAAATGGTAGAAAATCCTGTGACCTGTCTGTTGCAGACTAGCAGGTACCTCTTTATCAAACCCAAGCTGGATACGGCGTGTGTCCTGGATATTCTGGAGGAGGTTTGGTCCCTGGAGGGAAGGTACGAGAGTGGCCATGCAGATCATCAAGATGGGTAACACCAAACTCTGATCTGTCTGCTGACTGTTGTAGGCCAGCAGGTACCTCTTTATCAAACCCAAGCTGGATACGGCGTGTGTCCTGGATATTCTGGAGGAGGTTTGGTCCCTGGAGGGAAGGTACGAGAGTGGTCATGCAGATCATCAAGATGGGTAACACCAAACTGGATCTGTCTGCTGTCTAGCAGGTACCTCTGTATCAAACCCAAGCAGGGCTACGGCGTGTGTCCCGGATATTCTGGTGGAGGTTTGGTCTGTGGGGGGAAGGTACGAGAGTGGTCATGCAGATCATCAAGATGGGTAACACCAAACTGGATCTGTCTGCTGTCTAGCAGGTACCTCTGTATCAAACCCAAGCAGGGCTACGGCGTGTGTCCCGGATATTCTGGTGGAGGTTTGGTCTGTGGAGGGAAGGTACGAGAGTGGTCATGCAGATCATCAAGATGGGTAACACCAAACTGTGATCTGTCTGCTGTCTAGCAGGTATCTCTGTATCAAACCCAAGCAGGGCTACGGCGTGTGTCCCGGATATTCTGGTGGAGGTTTGGTCTGTGGAGGGAAGGTACGAGAGTGGTCATGCAGATCATCAAGATGGGTAACACCAAACTGTGATCTGTCTGCTGTCTAGCAGGTACCTCTGTATCAAACCCAATCAGGGCTACGGCGTGTGTCCCGGATATTCTGGTGGAGGTTTGGTCTGTGGAGGGAAGGTACGAGAGTGGTCATGCAGATCATCAAGATGGGTAACACCAAACTGTGATCTGTCTGCTGTCTAGCAGGTATCTCTGTATCAAACCCAAGCAGGGCTACGGCATGTGTCCCGGATATTCTGGTGGAGGTTTGGTCTATGGAGGGAAGGTACGAGAAGTGGTAATGCTGATCATCAAGATGGGTAACACCAAACTGTGATCTGTCTGTTGTCTGTTGTAGGCCAGCAGGTACCTCTGTATAAAACCCAAGCTGGACTACGGTGTGTGTCCTGGAGATTCTGGTGGAGGTTTGGTCTGTTGAGGGAAGGTGCGAGGATCGGCCAAGATCATCAAGATGGGTAACACCAAACTGTGATCTGTCTGCTGTCTAGCAGGTACCTCTGTATCAAACTCAAGCTGGCTACGGCGTGTGTCTCGGATATTCTGGTGGAGGTTTGGTCTGTGGAGGGAAGGTACGAGGGGTGGCCATGCAGCTCATCTAGATGGGATACAGCAAACTGTGATCCGTCTGCTGTCTGTCGCAGGCCAGCAGGTACCTCTGTATCAAACTCAAGCTGGCTACGGCGTGTGTCTCGGATATTCTGGTGGAGGTTTGGTCTGTGGAGGGAAGGTACGAGGGGTGGCCATGCAGCTCATCTAGATGGGATACAGCAAACTGTGATCCGTCTGCTGTCTGTCGCAGGCCAGCAGGTACCTCTGTATCAAACTCAAGCTGGCTACGGCGTGTGTCCCGGATATTCTGGTGGAGGTTTGGTCTGTGGAGGCAAGTTACGAGGGGTGGCCATGCAGCTCATCAAAATGGGATACAGCAAACTGTGATCCGTCTGCTGTCTGTCGCAGGCCAGCAGGTACCTCTGTATCAAACTCAAGCTGGCTACGGCGTGTGTCCCGGATATTCTGGTGGAGGTTTGGTCTGTGGAGGCAAGTTACGAGGGGTGGCCATGCAGCTCATCAAAATGGGATACAGCAAACTGTGATCTGTCTGCTGTCTGTCGCAGGCCAGCAGGTACCTCTGTATCAAACTCAAGCTGGCTACGGCGTGTGTCCCGGATATTCTGGTGGAGGTTTGGTCTGTGGAGGAAAGGTACGAGGAGTGGCCATGCAGATCATCGTGATGGGATACAGCAAACTGTGATCCGTCTGTTTACTGACCTATTACAATAATTTTCAATTTAGGCTAGGCCTAGATTTTGTTTTAGTGACGAGAGCCAAGATCTGTGGAAATAATAGAGTCTGATTAAATCACCATATAATAATTTATTTTTTCATTCACTTTACCCAGCCTATAATAACGATTATCCATTTTACAATAATAAATTCTTAGGCTAGTGATACCCGTACATGCAAATATACAATCATATGGAAAGCGCTCTATACTCAGGGAAGAAAATGAGGATCTTCGTTCTGCAATACAAAATAAATTGTCTGAGTTACATATCGGTATACTAAACTAACTAAAATAACGAATAAGGTAAATACAATTGTTTAACACGTGGCAAGAGGTTATGATTGGCAAGTATTTGAAAATATTATGATTGTCTTGCAGATTAACTAAATCTTCGTTGGAATCTGTTAAACATATAATAATTCTGATTAATATAAAGGATATTTTACAATGGATGTGCTCGGATACTTATAATTGCAACTTTTTACAATAGATCTACTCACATTTTCTAACGGCCTCCTCTATTTCCGCTCTCCACTAAAAAAAAAACAAAAAAAACAATGTCGAGATTGATCTGTACAACAAGGGCTACCAACCTACCAACTTAAGGCAACAATTAGTTCAATGATTATAACTTAATCAAATGTTTCCTACTGTAACAAATCAGTATGTTGTCTGTTGCAGGCCAGCAGGTACCTCTGTACCAAGCCCAAGCTGGACTACGGCATGTGTCCCGGAGATTCTGGTGGAGGTTTGCTGTGTGGAGGGAAGTTACGAGGAGTGACCATGATGGGAGTCAGGATAGACGACATGAAGAACTGTGATATGTCTATTATTGCTGGCATGCAATGCGGAGGCATGAATTCTATCAGTGTGTTTCAGGTGAGTGTTTAGTCTCATCATAGAGACATAGATAGAACATAGGCTAGGCGTCAGGCGAGGAGACTGTAGTCTTGGCCTAACCACTGAGGATGCCTCTTCAAAATAAGGACAACGGTTTCTGCAGCGATCTTTAACTGACGACTCGATTGATGCTGATCACTATGGATTCTGATAACGCCGACCTTATGAAGATACCGTAGGTCTCTCGTAGATGTCGTAGGTAAGACCTGGACCCGGGACCGATTTATTTTTTTCGTTTTGGGGTCCCCAGAGGCCAAAACACCATTCGTTCAAATTCATTTATATATGTGTGTGTGTGAGTGTGTCCGTTAGCACTAACTCAAACAAAAACCATCCGATTTTGATTAAATTTGGTATAAGTTGAAATTCGCTTAGTTTGCAGGTTTGCTGCGGCGGGGGTTATAGGGATTTTTGTTTTCCCCTATCTTATATTTTATAGAGCTGGGTAGCTTATCGGTTATATTGCTCGCGTAACCAGACGATCGGTAGTTCATCCCTGAGAAAAGTCAGTAGCGTTGTGATGGCTCTAATCGGGATGCTGCTGTCCGTTATTACTACTGTAATCCTAGGTCACTGTTTTATGGCACATTTGAAGTTTGGTTCATTTGAATTGATCTTAAAATACCTTTGAATCTATAATGCCCTAAATTACATGTTATTGTAAATCTCGCTAAGAAGTAAACCTTGATAAGAAATCGTATATGATAATCCCTAGAGGCTTGCTATAGAGGTTCTACTGCACCTTCTTTAATGACATTTTTTCCAGTCCCATATTAATTATGTTTCAGGATATCTGTCCATTTCTTCCATGGATCAATGAGCACACGAACGTCTTCAATGGAACGAAAATCTCGAAGAAATGTAAATATAGTGGATCAGCACGAACTAATAACTCATATGGTTTATTATTTATTAATATCGTATTGATTGTTTTAATAAATTCATTTCTCAGGTAATGAACTGTTTTATTTATTTACTTAACTATTAGTAGGCTACGCTTATTCTGCGCGTAACGGCAATGTCATTTGTATGGGCAAATCAACCAAATCTCGCTATGCAAGGATATAATAACTCTATCACAGACAAATAGTTTACATTCTTTGTACAGAGATTGTTAAATACAAGGAAAAACTATGTAAAGATAACAATAATAATATGTTAAGACCTAAACAATTGTTAATTATGTTCTTAAATTAATCATCTCCGAACATACCCTCCCAGGTGTCTGTGGTTTTCGAGACGAGGGTTTGCGTCGGAAGGCATAAGGGGCCCAAATACCTTTAACAGCTCCTGTGACCTCAAAATTGATTGAAACTTAACATTTACAGTATTAAAACCATAAACTTATTTAAACTTGTTCACGTAATGTGCACTACATTTTATACAAGAGAGGTCTTTGAGGATTAGTAACCAACGGTTCAAGCAAGGCAGTTCTGAGACTTTTCCTGCCTAGATGGTAGTTTGGGGATTTGTTAAATTTGGTCAGGCTGTCCGCATTCTTGATCATCAAACCCAAAATACGATCATTAGATCATTAGTTCTATTGGCCAGGCGCACACAGGCAATTTTGAGTCGCGCAACAGTTGCCTGACTAACTTCACAAACTTCACATACCTTAAAACTTCACACAACAAGAGAGCAAACACTAGTGACACTTCTGGCCACGAGTAGTTGAACTTCTGGGGTGAGACTGAGCGACACAGCGACAATTTAGTCGCATGTGTGCGCATCTACACTTGTTTCAATGGATACCAAACCTGGAGCGACAGTCCCGCAACAATTGAGTCGCAGAGCAGTCGCTGGCAAATTGGATCCGGGAACATCGGTTGCAACAGTTGCACGACTGTCCCTAGACTGTTGGTGTGCGCACTCCAATTTAAATCAGTATTGAACATTTTAGTCGGGCAACTGTTGCGCGACTCAAAATCGCCTGTGTGTGCCTGACCAAAATGTATATACATGTTTAATGAGTACAAAACCAAACTGCACACAAACATTCACTTACATTGTTTACCATCTTCACTCTACTTACCGATTCACAACCTTGTCGACACAAAGAAGCCCAGATTTACTGCCAGTTATTCAAAAACCCGTCCACGCGTTTCAGCCGAATCTCCAGACGATTTTTTACGGCGAAACTACAGAAATAATTGTGTAGATTATGCGGTCGTCGGGTGAGCATAAATAACGTGAACTTCCAATTACAAAGGTGGGCAGCGCCTTCCGTACTCGACGGGGGTCAGGGTGCCGAGTCCTGGGCCAAATTAGTTCATTTTGGAAACACTCCCCACGCACTACCAAATATTTATGCCGCGCCATCGCACCAATCGTCACGCTCCCATACAAGTCATAGCTAATGGGACCACAAAGCGCCTACGCTACGTGGGAATAGCCCGGGAGAAATTTCCAATATTTTCCCTCTGTTTTACGGGGTGTAAAATTTAGTGAGGACCTGGTGCTCAATGTGGGCTGTCGAAAGTTGTAACAATTATTGAATGTGATTGGTTTGTTGGTTTTAATTCTTCTAATTTCGTAGACGGGTAATTTTTACAGTTTTACCTGCTTGAAAGTAGATTTTAATGAATATATTGCTGATAAAACTTTCTTAGGCGTGCTAAATTTAAATAAATTGAAGCTTATATTATATGCTGGTATCCTTATACGAGGTATCGTTATAATACTCGTATATAATACGAGAATGTGATTTCTACGATACATTACTCCTCCGTTAAAAATGGACGGATTTTTACAAACGATAAGTCAAAATTAAGTATTTTTTGTGTGTACTCCCCCTTTCACAAATTTCTGTAATAAAATCCATCGGGCTTTGCCCCACAGGCCATCAAAATCCCAATGCATTTCTTATGAAGAAAAGATTTTGTTTACTTAAGACAACTTTGTTTTAATTACAGCTGCTGTTCATAGTAAACACATGATACACACAACAGCGTTCGTTTTTAGAGTGAGTTCGTATTCAGTTTCGATAACTAGAGTGGAGTGATTGATTACATTATCTTTGAGTTGACTCTTTTAAGTCATCGACAATTTTGACTGTCATTCTTTTTTAAATAAAGCCTGTAGAACTTTGAAATATTGCTCGAATACGAGCAACAGGTACACTAGTCCTATTATATTTTTTGCAACACCAACTAACAACGAACTGTTGCAGCAAACATTTGCAACCTGGTAAGATAACTGATTGCTGAAGCTATGTTTATGTACGGTCAATTTAAATAAAATTGATAAAAGACTCAATAGTTTTGGTACTCATTATAGTTTTAAATCAAATAGCGATTTTGGTTTGTCCTAGTTTAAGCATCACCTGAGAATTAGATAAGCATTTGTGCTATCTTGTGAAACTTTTTAGTGATGAACTCAACAATTAATTATTATGATACTGTCATTAATGAGAATCCCAGTGGACTATGCCAACGGGATTACGTTTCAAGCAGAGGCCTACTACAGACCTTGAAGATCACCTGCTAACGTCCATATTATTTTAGGAGTGCTACAACATCCTTAATTCATCAGTTTGTAGCAACAAACAACAATTTTTTCCTTAAAAACTAGATTATAATTATTTTATTTGCCAAACATAAACGGTCATACCAATTCACATCACTTGGCAAACCACCACCTCTTCTCTGAAGCGTTATTTTACCAGTCCAATTTTCTCTTGCTATAAGTCAAAAAGTCCGGATCTCCGAAACAATTTAAACATTCCACAATAAGCGGACCGTTTGAGATATTCTATTTTTATGCGTCATTACGCGGCGAGGGTGCAGGGTGGCTAATGAAGGCAAGGCACAGCGGGGTGTGCGCCTGGACCGCTCTCACATAAATAAATACATTAGGCGCTGAAAGGCTGAAATGCTGCCCAACGCAGGGTCCTAGAATCAATTTATTTGGGACCCGGACCCTAGTGTGTGAATCTTATAAATTTTCTAACAAGCCTTGTAAAAAGGGTAAGTTTGGACCAGCTCCGATGCAGTTATCTAGAGTACATAGCGGATCTATGAGCTGTTTCTGAAGAAGGATTTCAAGACAGATTTGCCACAGCCATGCCACCAGCAGCTAATGAATCAGCTAGAGGTCTACGAGATTACCGAGCGTCAAGTAATCTTTGGTAATATCTACGTTCTAGCGAGTATCAGCGGAGGTATGTTTTAGGATGTTTTCTCATGATGGGTACCGTACTAGAAAGTATGTTTAAATATTATATTTATTATAAAGTTCTATGTATATATAGTGACTAAGTTATTTTAATATTGATGGCATACGTTTTATTAACCTTTGTATAGTTATTGTGTGAGTGTCGATGTCAAAAATATCCGTAGAAGAAGAGGTAGAGCATCCAATCAATGGCAACCAAAATGTTGTGGTGATTGTGATACTGGGTTTGAAAATTCAGATGGATTGTACATTTCGTTTTGTTATTTTCTATTCATTCTTCTATTTCCTCAACAGTCTTCAGTAAGAGCTATAATTTCCATTCAATTCATCCTCACTCTCTCCGGCTTGCATTGCTCACACTCCATCAATTACAACTATAGATTAGAGTGTTTTCCACGGATCATCGGTTCAATCGAACCTGACCAATCTTCAGCGGCACCCACACAAAGTTTCCCGCCACGGCTACCAGTTACAGCTTACGTTTACGGCCTCGCTGTCAACTCGGCGCTTTATGTCTCCAGCTAATTCCGCATCCCGAATTGTAATTCATAAAACCTTATATTTTCCGGTAAATTAAAACGTGCTCGGTGGGAGATGGTTTAGAGGCCATAAACCGAGCGCAATCAAAGCCCGACGTCACGGCTTTATACCTCTTTGTAATTATCCTAGTTTGGTGGCCTTTGGTTCGGTGTTTTGGTTGTAAAACAGCTGTGCCGTGTCGGCGCCCCACCGGGAACTTCCTTCATTAGCTCTCGTCCCGCTACCGATTGTAAATAACGAATATTAGGTATTAAATAATAAAGCGTCTGCATGTATGGCTCGGCGGGAGGGAGGTAATGGGAGGCAGAAATTGAATGAGCTATGTATGTCTTGGACTGTATTATGTCGTCAGCTGAGGGAAACTGGACATTTGGACAGAGGGAGGGATTTAACTTGGAAATTGGCGTGGGACAATGGAGAGCTTATGAACGGAATTAATAATGTTTTTAGGGTACGCTACTTTTAATCTATACTGATCCTGGAATAAGTATTCTATACGAGAGGCTTTTCATGTACATCTTAAAAAACAGTTTCCTGCCCAATGAATGTTTTGCCCATTGATATCCCTCAATAAATGAAAACGTCTATAACTCAGTAAAACAAAACAAAAAAACATTAAAGTCTTAGGAAAAATTGTTGACCTTTTAAGTCAAGGTCATTCCAACTGTTTAGTGAACAGTTTAATTAAGTGAGTTCAACGCACTTAAGTTCTAAAAGCTAAATGAAAAAGATGCCTCTTTCTAAATTTTGATATTATTTGAGAGTATTCTTAAGTTGTATAATCGAGAAGGCCTTGCGCCAAAATGGAGACGCCACGGAAGCCGTGTAAAGGGTTCCGACCAGATATTAATTAGAAGGGGCGGGTCCACGGGAGCAAGGGGCGGCTCTGCTTTCGAAACCTTACATATTTAAAACACGGCCCCAAGATGTTTACTGCCCATCCATATCCAATTGGTCCAGGCGATCAATTAGCCTAACAGGTTGTACGCTGTGAAAGATAACCATTTGTTCAGGGGCGTTTTTTACTAATTGTCTTTAATGGGTTGGTTCGTGATTAGGTTTGATTATGTAAGGGTTCTAGAGAAATATTTAGTGATCAATGAACTTTGTAAATTTAAAAAAAGGAAATTTGATGCTTAAGTGACTTTTTTTAAACATTCAGGAGGTCTACTTTCATGTCTATTTGAACATAAAAATAAGCTATTTTACGGCGAATCGGTGACACGATTTTGGACGAGA